GGCTAGAATTCCTGGGTATTTTTGCTGTATTCAGAGTTAAGCCTGATCTCTCTCCCTATTGTCATAGTCTTGACCCCTTTTGCAATATTCCCAAATATTAAATAGGGATGAGGGATGGGAAGGATCCAGTACTCTTACTTGTTGCCTTCAAACATTAGAAACACTAAAATAATCAGTCCTGTTTTTCTTTCATGTTTGCCTAACAACCTCTGGTGCTTCCTACCTTCCAAAGTTGTTTTCAGGCTGAAGACAATGTCCCTCACCATTTTATAGTTCTTGATATTAATAAATTGACATGGGTGCTGATTTATATATTTCTGTGATTAAGTTAACCGTGGAGCAGTATCCCCAAGTTCAACACATTGGCAAAAATCAAATTTCTGGAGCTGCAAAAGGTGGGGGCGAGAAGGTGAGATCTGGCGGCAGTGAACTATGGCATTTAAGATTCCATGCGAGGGCAGCCCGGGTGACTCAGTGGTTTAGCGCAGTCTTCAGCCCAGGGTGTGATCCTGGAGACCCGCGATCGAGTCCCATGTCAGGCTCCCTGCATGGAGCCTGTTTCTCCCTCTGCCTGTGTCTCTGCCTCTCTCTCTCTCTCTCTCTCTCTCTCTGTGTGTCTCTCATGAATAAATAAATAAAATCTTTAAAAAAAATAAGATTCCATGTGAGAGCTTAGATGACATGGCTACCTAACAAATACCAGCAAACAGAAGTCAGTAGGGTGTTAGAGATAAGGAATAATGTGGGTGATACCAAATATTTGGACTATTGCACTCAGAATTTAATCCTCCTTCTCTCTCATTGCCTATATCCTAAGACTCAATTACATCTTGAGTTTCTAACCTCTATCCCTCAGATCTATCAATGGCTTTATCCTGACCTGGAGATCTTATTAAAATGCAGATTCTGTTCAGAGGTCTAGGAAGGAGTGGGGACAGGAGTCTGCATTTCTAGAAAGCTCACAGGTTTTTGGTGCTGTGGGTCCAGTGATCCTCTGCCCCTTTGAGCATGAAAAGGAGATGCCATCATCTCTAGTCTTGGAGTATTGACACAAATTCCTAATTGGACTTTCTACCTCTTTCCAATCCATTCCCCACCCTACAGCCAGTGTGATCTTCCAAAAATCAGATCTGAACAAGTTCCTCCACTTTCCGTGCTTCCCATTGCCCTGGGCGCACTCAGATCCTGGCCCTGCCTCCCACGGCACCGTCAGGCTCCCACTCCTGTCTCACGCTCACTGTCCCAGCCCTGGTGAATCAGGCTCAGTTCCTATGAACACCCTGTGATCTGTATTTCTGAGCTTTCTCAGAAATTCTTCTCATCTCACTAACATTATTTGCCTTCTTTTTATTTATTTATTTATTTATTTATTTATTTATTTATTTATTTATTATTTTCATTATTTGCCTTCTAATTGCCATCTTCACCCCTCCCATGCCTTTCAGGCTTTTGAAATCCAGTTATGCACCCTTCCTTCCTCTGTGATTCTATAACATTCTGGACTTCTATCATTATACGTATGAGCCAGTATAACTGAAGTTTCTATCATTAGATTATGAATGAAGGAGGAAGAGAAGTACCGGTGTTTGTTTTCATTGTATCTCTATCACATTGTTTTGCACATAGAAATGCTTAAAATATATTTGTTGAGTTCACTTTATTGAACTGAAGTGGAAAAAAGAGAGCATTCAGAAAGTAGAAGCCTACCTGGGTCTCAGATTTATGTCCCATTTGGTCTTCTTCATGGTCACGTCAGGGTTAGTATATGTTAAGGATAAAATTGATTAGATTATCAAATTGAACCAGTCTAAAGCTTTCCAACTACTTTAGAATAAAACTAGGCTTGCAGTTCTGTTTAATTCTGTTTTACCTAAGCCATACAGAATAGATATTATATCTATGAAACAAGGCAGCTCTGACCAGCTGTTCTCTACTTTTGTAGAAGAGCCAGCAAATATAAACAAAAATTGCATAAGATATGTAAAATAAGAAGGACTGGATGGTAAGTGGGGAGACTAGTTAAATGTGGAGTTGCCCTGTGAGAAACCCTCCCAGAGAAGTTTCACATGATAAACAGTTCTTTAATCTTAGCACGTGAGATGCTGTAAATGGATCTTACCAGTTATAATTTTTAATAGAATCTCCAAACTTTACATTAGGTTCTGAGATCCCATAAGGCATCATTTACAAAATCATAATGGAATCTTCTCAAGAGTTAAACAGAAACCCATGTGTCACATAAAAGTCTGTGTGGTTGGGATCCCTGGGTGGCGCAGTGGTTTGGCGCCTGCCTTTGGCCTGGGGCGTGATCCTGGAGGCCCAGGATCGAATCCCACATCGGGCTCCCGGTGCATGGAGCCTGCTTCTCTCTCTGCCTGTGTCTCTGCCTCTCTCTCTCTCTGTGACTATCATAAATAAATTAAAAAAAAAAAGTCTATGTGGTTGAAGTGTATCAATTCCGTGAGGTTTATTTCATTACACACAAAATTATACTTGGAAATCTCTTGTATTTTTATGGTTTGCTTTTTTTTTTTTTCTCTATGCTTTGCTTTCATTTTTTCAAGGAAGGAATGGCATAATGAAAGCACTAGGATCTAGCTTGCCTTCTTGTTTTCTCATTGTTACCAGATCCTAAATCTCGCCTCTGATGTGGCTCAGGATTCTGGTGTAGAATTGATTACTTCATTTCCATGAAGGTATTAGCGGAGATGGAAAAGGTCACCTCTGGGAGCCCACCTGGCTCACCCTGTGAATTCCTCACTAGCAAACAATACTCTCATTGTCTTTCCTCATTCATTGCTCACAGAGCCACACCTGTCGGGGGCCAGCAGCAGCTGCCCAAGCTCACCTTTGTAGGAGGAATCAAGAGAAAAAAGAAACAGGGAAAGCTCAAGTTAGGGAGTAATTCAGTGTATCAAAGTAGCTTTCATGCTTTTTTGTGTGAGAACATTCAATATTTTCGTGGGTGTGAATTTGCTCTTCCTACAGATATAAACTTATTTACTGAGTCCTTCGTACATGCCAGATTTTTAAGTACATATTTTATTTTGTCTCTGTGGACGATTAGGGATCATACTCCTCAATGAAACTGAGGCCCAGAGAGAATCAGTCTCAGGTGGCTGAGCCTGAAAGCCACTCCGGCTTGGAGCAGCCTCATTTCTAAAGCCCAAACCCTTTCCTCTAAGCTCTGCGGCCTTTGAGAAAGCAAAGCCCCAAAGACAAACTCGCAATTAAAAAAAAATAAAGACAGGGCAGCCCTGGTGGTTCAGTGGTTTAGCACCGCCTTCGGCCCAGGGCCTGATCCTGGAGACTGGGGATCAAGTCCCACGTCGGGCTCCCTGCGTGGAACCTGCTTCTCTCTCTGCCTGTGTCTCTGCCTCCCTCCGTGTCTCTGATGATGAATGAATGAATGAATGAATGAATGAATAAATAAAATCTTAAAAAAAAATAAAGACAGAGGGGGAAATGAATGCAGGTATGAGGAGAGTCTAGGCGGGGATCCAATGAGCAGTGCCCGGCGACTTGCCGGCCGGGCCACCTGCAGGTGTAACCCGGACTGCGCGTTCCCGGGAAACGGCGGGGCGCGGGGCGGGGGGCGGGGTGGTGGTGGGGGCTGGACTGTCGGTGTGTTCAAAATACGTATTTTATCTCCCCCCCCGTCCTCCACCTGCACCCCCCTACCCCCCCTGCCCTCCACCTGCCCGCCCCTCCAGGGAGATCGCGCGTCCCAATCTCCCGTGGCTGCTCGCCGGGCGCAGGATCAGGTTAAACGAGCGCTCTCCGCGGCCTTCCAGGCCCCTCCGCGTGCGCCCCGGTTCCGCGCGCCCCTTCCACCCCCCGCCCAGCGACCCCCTGTGCGGCGCGCTCCCCCCGCCCCCCCGCCTTCCCCTCCCTGCGCTCCTCCGCACCCCGTGGCTGCCCTCCCCGCCCCCGCCTTCCGCTCGCCCCTCTCTCCGGGTCTCCGCTTCGAAGCCACTTTCTGGGGGAGGCCCTTCCCGGCGGATTCCCACCCCCCCCGGGGCTCCCGCGCGCCGCTGGTTCTCCTCGGGGCTCCGACCGCAGCCTGCAGTGGAGACGCGCTCGCCGGGTTCCTTATGACGCCTGCAAAGGTCCCAAGGGCTTAGCCCTGCACCTGGCTCCCACGGGACTGCATCACTTTTGAATGAATGAATGAATGAATGAATGGGGGGACTGGAGTTGGAGTCTAACGGTGTCCATCAGCAGCCCATCAAGCAGTATTTCGAATCCCTCGGGGCTGCATACAATCCCCGCCCCGCCGGCCCCCAGGGGGCTGCGAAGCCCTGGAGCGGAGCAGCCCTCGAGGCCCCCCGCCGCGGGGAGGAGGCACCGGGCGCAGCGGGGCTGCGGCGGGGCTCCCGGGGTCCCCAGGCTCCCGCGCACCGGGGCGGCGCGGCGGAAGGAAGGGAGACGCGGGCCCCGGGGCGCCCGGAGCCTGGAGCGACCGCGGGCGGCGTCTGGGGCGCCTCCGGCCTCGAGCCGGGCCGCCGGGGACCTCGCCTTCCTCCCGCGGGGGCCGGCGCGCGGGGCGGGGCGGGGCGGGCGGGGGGGGGCGGGGCCGGGCTCCCGGCGCCCCAATGGGACTCGGTGCGGGGCGGCGGCTGCGCCCGGCGCGGGCGGGGGAGGCGGCCGGGCCGCGGCTCGAGGGCGCCGCGCGCGCCGAGGGGAGGCCGAGCGCGCCGAGCTGGCGCCCCGCGGGGCCATGGGGCCCGGCGCCCGCCGCCTCCTGGCCGTGCTGCTCGTGGTCTGCGCCCCGGCCCGGCTGCGGGCGGGCGAGCCGGGTGAGTGGGGCGCGGGCCGGGCGGGCGGGGCCTGCAGGGAACGGAGCCCCCAAGCCGGGTCGCGCCCCCCCAGTGCCGCGGCACAGCCGCTGGACACCTCCGCGCCGCCCTGCGCTCCCGGTGCTCCGGACTCCCTGACCCGGGCGCGGAGGGCACAGCCCGGGCGCGGGGACGCCGCTCCGCGGGGCTGCTGGGCCTCCGAGGCCCCCGCTCCCCCCGCGCGGCTGCAGGATGGGGGGCCCTGCCGCCGCTCTCCGCGAGCTGCCTGCGCCCCAGGCCGGAGTGGGCGCTGGCGCCAGAGGGGGCCTTCCCGGGGCCCTGCGCCCTGCGCCCTGGCTTCGGGTGGGACGTCGTAGTCCCCCCACCGACCTCACCTCTGCATAGGTAGTAGACCCCTTTACCAGCCCTGGATACAGCCTTGTTAATTAGAGGTGCGTGGTTTTTTTTTTTTTAATTTTATGGATTTATTCATGAGGGACCCACAGAGAGGCAGAGACCTGGGCAGAGGGAGAAGCCTGATGCGGGACCGATCCCGGGACCCCGGGTCACAACCTGAGCCACGCAGGTGCCCCTGTTAATTAGTTCTTTACTCCTAGGGCCGCTTCCTGCGATTTTTCACTTCTTTTTTTGCCCTTCCGTACTTCTGCCCCTGTTCAACTGAGGCCGTTTAATTGGCACTAACTCTCCAGAATATTTTGACAGCTCCCCCCCACCCCCGCCCGCCCCGTAATGAAACAGGAATCACAGGGAAACCAAATGCTGGCATTTTCTTCACTGAGCCACGCATCCATTCCCAGTCTGAAAGTTGGGTACTCAGGATGTTAGTACTGGTTCCTAAGTTTGCTTACATACCGATTTCTTCCTTCCTTTCTTTTTTTTCTTTAAGCCGAAGTTTGGACAAAATATATCAGCGCTAGCAGAACGCTATGCATGTCGTAAAATTTTAATGAATAATGTATGCTTTTATTAAATATGTAGGCTCTTGATCATGGGTGTTGTAAGCATTTACAAAAAAAAAAAATGTTTCTTGTATCACTGTTAGAAGATGCGGCTTCAATGCTGCACGTCTATGAATGAGTCCGGCAGTGTGTCCCTGTCCCAATCTGGCCACAACTGTTATCCATTTTTCCAAATGAAGTTTCCAATGTTGTATAGCCATCTAGGCTGTTGATTGGGTGCTTTTTCCAGCAGTTTTCTGGCAACAAGTGTGATTGCTTCTATTCTTAAGGAGCTTGGAATGGGAGACTTGACTGGTGGAAGTCAAGCAGTTGACTGGTGGAAGAAGATGCCATTTGAGTTTCCACAACAGTTCCTATGTGGTTAGGATGTTAAAAGAACCAAGAAAGACAGAAGTATTTACATAAAAAAGCAAAACTTAGATTTGGGACATTTACTGAAAAAAATTTTTTTTTCTAGGAACTCTGGTCTGATACCTCTGGAGTGAAGTCATAGTGATTTTTTAAATATTTCTCATGTCTGTGATTTTCTCAATTAGCTCTTGGTCATTTATTTTGCAAGTTTTCCTATTTTAAACAGACACACCCATTTTAGGCCTTGAGGTAGGCTACTGGCCATATAGTCAGATAGTGGGTCATAGGTGATATTAGCGATTTTGATGTCTAGAAGAGGGCAATTCTGGGATGCCAGTCTGGTTTTGGTGAGAAGATGACACCATTTTTTTACATTTTACCTTCATTATTCTTGGAGTCAGCTTCTTGGGTCCCAACCTGCCTAGTCACCTCTGTCTCCGGAAGCTTTGCAAAGCCCCAGCCCCATGTTATGAATCAGAAGTGCAAATGGGTGGGGCCTGGGAATATGCACCTTAAGAAAAATTCCCCCAGGTAATTCTGATTCTAATCAGCTTTGAGATGGTGGCAACATTTTATAATGTTAGGATTATGATAAAGTGCTGCCATCTGTGTCCTAGACAATTTAATATTACACTTTTAGTCATTGGGTTATATTTCAGGACACAAGTGCAATAATTTAATCTAAATTTTAATAAGCCTAGTCAGTGAAATTATTCCAGTTTTTTATGTCAGAGTCTGGTGAAGCTATACTGGTTCCTTTGTAGGGCTTCTGTTTGCCTGTCTGGTACTTTTGCTCAATTCATTTTCTATTTTTTTTTTTAGATTTTTATTTATTTATGATAGTCACACACACAGAGAGAGAGAGAGAGAGAGAGAGAGAGAGGCAGAGACACAGGCAGAGGGAGAAGCAGGCTCCACGCACCGGGAGCCCGACGTGGGATTCGATCCCTGGTCTCCAGGATCGCGCCCTGGGCCAAAGGCAGGCGCCAAACCGCTGCGCCACCCAGGGATCCCTCAATTCATTTTCTAAAAAGTGACCACCTCTTCTAATGTTTATAGCCTGCCTGGCACCAGACATCAGGACTTGATGAGCAGAATTTGGTCAGATTTCTGCTCCTCTGGATCAACTTAACTAAATTTAGATATTTACATAGATTGTTTCACACGGTTTTTAATCCTATGTAACATACATACAAATTGATCTTTAGTATTAATTAGTATAAATCCATAGGCTTGGATTTGGTCTTCTTACCTTGATTATAAATTTTGAGGACAAAATATCCTAATTCATGGGATGAATTTGTGCTGAAAATCTCTCATGCTCTCCTCCTCGAAAATATTCAGAGACGTATATTAAGAATTTCCACCTTGTGATTTAAGTGTTAGTGAAGAATAAAAATAAGCAGTTGGTCCCTAAGGAAACTTCAGAGTGTAGAACTGGATACTTTAAAGTTGCCTTAAAAATTCTGCCCAACTCTAATCTGTTACTATCAGAAGATCTGTTCTTAAGTCATCACTCCTGCGTATTTGGTTAGACATGGAACAGCTGATGTCTGATGCTTTGGGTGAGTGACTTCTTAAAAAGTAAGCCCAAGTTTATTCTGGTATCTTCTGTATCAGTGTGTGCACTCACTCTAGTTTTTCCATCATCTCTGTGGTCTGGGATGGAGTGCTGCCTTGGGGGTGGGGAGGTTCCTGCTCAGTGGGGAGTCTGCTTCTCCTCCTCCCTCTGCCTCCTCCCCTCTGCTTGTGCTCTACCTCTGTCTCTGTCTCTCTGTCTCTCTGTCTCTCTCTCTGTCTAATGAATAAATACAATCTGTTTTTGAAAAAAGAATGTAAGGCCCATGAGGAGCTTTGTGCTTTGAACAGTGTCCAGCACGTGATGGGTGCTCAATAGGAGATATGTGCTGGGTGACGATGGGGGAGAAGGCAGTGGAGACACAGTTCCTGCTTTTAAAGACAGAGCCGAGGATCAAAACCATAACAAGACTAATAAAATAATATGTCCAGCATGACTGTTTTATAGACACAAAGTCTGAAAATATGGATTTAAAACAGAGCAATTCATTCTGGTATAATTGAAGTTTATGCAAAAATACTGTCAGACTTTCAGAGTGTAGTTTTCATTAGACTTTGGTGTAATTTTGCCTTTTTGCGACTAAAGAGTCATGTTTATGTCATTTTCCAGATGTTCTCTGCTTTGTATATATAAAAAAATAGTTGTTTGCTTTGAGGGGTGGGGGAGTGGGAGAGACTTAATTAATGGGAAAAAACCCCACATGGTGATTTCCAGCCCAAAGTAGAAATAAGTTCTAACTGTGAGCCATAGTGTGCTAAATTCAGATCAAATGCCAAACCTTCAAAAAAAAAAAAAAAAAAAAGCCAAACCTTCCTCTTGGTGGCAGGGAAGAAGAGAGAGTTTTTTTGTTTTTGTTCTTGTTTTTGTGTTTTGTGGGGGAAAGGGAGGGAAATGAGGGAGAGTAGAGATGAAATGGAGCCTTTTATAGCCTCCGCCAGCACCTGGTACAGTGCCTGGTAGGGAAAGGGCTCCAGATAACTATTTCCTGTGGCCTCACATGAATGACGGGGGTGAGGCCTGAGACAATGAGGTGAAGGGTAATATCCACTAAATAGTTTTAAGCAGAATTGCATACACGACTATCGTGTGACTTAGGAAGCATTCTGTATGCATTCAAGAAAATAGCTAAATTCAACTCTGAAAAGTTTGGGGATGTCTGAAACTCCTTTACAGGCAACACCAGGAAAGCTGCTTTGAGTTAGGTGCTGGCAGTCTGGAGAATATTGAAGCAAGTGGCATACTGATATGGATCAGAGGAGTCCCCCAAGATCTCCAGATGCTTAGACATTGAGGGTGTCAGGGACCTGTTTTATCCCAAAAATCACTGGGGACAGTGTTTAGACATTTGTGACATTAGTATTAAGCCATATTTGTCATCTATGCCTTGACTGTTTACTGCCATTTTGATTTGACCTATAGTTTCTATGAACTACCTCTCTGGGAGCTTTTATGCTGTATGAAACTATACCCAATACTTGCAGAAAGGTCTTGTGTCATATATGTGGTAATTTTAGCTTAGGTGGATTTTTTTTTTTTTTTTTTTTGGTAGGAAAAGCTGCAAAGAATAACGTTGAAACAAGGTAATAGCTAAGTGATTTTGTTTTACCCCGATTCTCCCTAATTTTCATAAAGCTACACTGGAGCTTTTAAAAAAACCACACACCCACAACACTAAATTTCTCTTAGGATAGGGCTTTCTTTCCTGTTTCCACAAACATATTTCCTAATGCTTACAAGACAGAACAGTTGTAGTACAAAGCAGGATACTGATAAATAATGTTGCACTGACATATCATAATCCTGCAAGGAAGATGTTACACAGAGAACCATAAGGACAAGCTTTTGGTGCACACACACACATAAATACAAATATGTATTCCCACAACTAATGTACATATACACACACGCTCTTATATACCTTCTACTATTTGCTTTTACTAAATATTAGTTAGATAAAATTACATATATAAAATATGTGTAAGGTATAAAGAACAACAATAAAACTCATACCTGGATACTCACTCTACTATCTAGTGTCTACATACTTTTATAGTCTTTTTTTTCGACTTTTTATTAAATGCTTTCACCATACTAATTAGGAAAAAATTGTGTTTTTATTTATTTTTAGGATTAGCCTTCAGGCAAACTGAAAACTCACTTTCAAGTCGTTTATTGCCACTGAGGAATATCTAAAGGGAAAATGGAATTTTTGTCTTGGCCAACCAGCTATGGGTCTTGTCAAGATTTTTGTCTTTTGTGTGATTCAAATAACCCTTCTTGCTTTTGGCGTCAGAATTAAGTTGCTTGTCCTTACCTTATTTGAAAAAAAATATTACTTTAAATGTACTAAGTATCAGAAAGTTAAGATGTATTTCTTGGCCCTTCTTGGTTGAGAGTCTTAATTCATACTTACGGAGGTCAACCTTGTCAATGATTAGACTACTTGAAGTTTATCTTTATTGATTAACCACATTTGTTTTATCACCATTTCCAACTCAAATTACAACCACTATTGTAGCCTTTTATTTCAATGTCCAACATA